CAGCGCAGGAGGGGAAGACCCTCTATGAGGTGGATTGATTCAGTGACTGGGGTAATCGGGATGGGTGTGTCAGAGGCAATGAGATTGGCACAGGATAGAGCACGGTTTAGGGCTGTTGTACATAGGGTCGCTATGAGTCGCAAACAACTCAATGGCACATAACAACAACAACAACAACCAACCATTGGGTGGAGTTGAATTGCAAACATTAGTAATCAAGCACTACCTAGAAGCCTAATCAAAATTGTTGTTGCACTTGCATCCTGTTGTAGTTGTGTCTTGTTGAGTCAGAACTGACCCATAGCTGACCCTCCAGTGGGTTTTCAAAGGCAGTAAATGGCATGAGAGGAGATAATATCTTTCATCCTGTGGAGCAGCTGGTATATTCGAACCATGAACCTTTGAGATGGCAGTGCAACTCCTTGCCTCTAAGCAACCATAGCTCCTGCATAAAAATTGTTGTTGTTGTTGTTAAGTGCTGTCGAGTCACAGGCGACTCATAGAGACCCTAAGAAGGAGAGTCATTGACGTTTGGGTACCTTTCTTCCTCTCTCCAGGTTCATAGGGTTTCCAGAGGCAAGCTATTATGGAAGTGCATGCCTCTCCTTCTTCCAAACTTGTTTTAATCGGGGAGCTCCACCCCATTCTCTGTCCGCATTGGGTAACCAGCCGTTAACGCATTTGACCCATCAGTGTCACAGTGTTCAGCCTCACAGCAACCACAAGTGACCGCGGTACAGCAACTTGTACACCAGGGCTATACGACCTAGAGGAATGTCTGAACAAAAATAATGAAAGACAGGCCCGAGGGCCGCGGATTAAAAGTCACCCATCTTTGGCTTGGTAGCATCGCTTTCTGTCCACTGGGCCAGCTAATCTCTCTCTCTCGCATCAAAATTAGTGAGGTTCATTTTTTCATATGGGTGCTAATGGCCTTTGACAGGATTGGAAGTGCTATAAGGTCAAATCATTCTCCCACTCAGATCAGCTGCCACATAATTTGAGGGTAATTTTGAAAGTGTTGAACAAATACCCTCCGATTTGCTCTAAAAATACGCCATCTGGGTAGCAATGCTAATTTTTTGTGTGTGTTTTTGGTTTTGCTTTTTAAGTCATTCATCCAATCATTGGTCACCTTGTAAAGAACTATTTTAGTGCATCTTGCTCTCAAAGAGATGACGCAGGCCTAGACAGTGATGCATTCTGCTGTGTGTTGGGGGATCCTGAGTTGGAACTGACTGTACGGTACTTAACAACAAGAGAAGCACAGGATTGTTGAGACGCTGATAGAAGGGACACATTTTCCGTGGTGCCGTCTTGGCTCCATCATGCCACGTTTCAGTGATCCAGGGAGTGATCAGTGTTGCTCTTGTCCAGCTGCACACATTATGTCAGCTTACACAGGAATTTGGGAACTTCTCAGGGAACTTTGAAATTAGGAAAAACTAGACTTCATCCCACATCTTTTGAGCATGTTATTAGGAGGGGCGTGATCCTTGGGAAAAGGCATCCCGCTTGGAAGAGTAAGTGAGCGAGAGGAAGACCTCCAACAAGAGGCCTGACGCAGTAACTCTGTCGATGGCCCCAAGCCCAGCAGTCAGGGATTATGAAGATGCCACAGGGTCAAGCAGGGTTTGTACTATTGTACACACATTTGCTGTGAGTCAAAACTGACTCAGGGCAGCTAATAGCAACCACCACCAGTGTAGGGTGGATTCTGGAAGTGAAGCCATGTCAGCTCATGTGCAGTGGGGAACCAGACACTTGGAGAAAGTAAGAAATACAGCTGGTAAGAGAAAAGAGAAGAACAGAGATGAGGAAGAGGACCCTGGACCCAGAGAAATGAGAGCGTCTAGTTTGATTTCCTGTCTGGGTCCTGCTGTACCACAGTTTGACGGATGGGGGTGTAGAGTGAAGAAATGGGAAAGATCCAATGTAAAAAACAATAGATACCAACTTTGTAAATAAACCAGTATAAAATTAAAAAGAATGATAAAAACAAAAAACCCTCCGACACCTTTGCAAGAAATTCCCTTTTTCTTCTAAATTCTGAATTCTTCTGAATTCTGAATTCCCAGAATTTCTTCTGATAGTTTTTATAGTCCTTGTAAACTGTTAATACAGAGCTCCAGTGCCACAGTGGATGAAGCACTCAGTCACTAACCCAAAGGTCAGCAGTTCTAACCTAGGTAAAGGCATAGCTAAGGCATGGTAGATATGGCATGTGTCCTTGGTGCCACTTGAGAAAGGGGCCACCACTGAGCAGTTTCTGTTAACTGTGTGGCCTTACCCTGGTGCTGTGTGACCTTTCTCTCTGAAAGAGAAGAATGGGGAGGGGGAGGTGTAACTGTCTTGGAGGACATCATAGACTCATTTTCTTCAGTGAAAGCATTAAGTACAGATGTCATTTTTGTATAGTGCCAGAATATGTTAAGATGAACAAGCCTGACTTGAATTTTTGAGCGGTTGTTATAGTGAAGTTACCTAAAAGATGGGTGTGAGACGTTGGCACAGGGACACAATTCTAGTGTTTGGTGTGGACGTTGTCTGCTGCAGCTGTGCCTCTGCCTGTTGTGTCACTAACGGAGCCCTAGTGGTGGTGTAGGTTATATGTTGAGCTGTTAACCAGAAGGTCAGCAGTTCAAGTCCATGAACCCCCCTGATGGAGGAAGATGAGGCAGTGAGGTAGTCTACTCCTGCTAAGTGTTCCAGTGTTGGCAACCCAATGGCCTGTCCCCAGGAGTGACCTGAAATAGACTCGAGGGCTATTAAGAGATTACCAAGAGTTAGAATAGCCTCTGTAGCAATAGGTTTGTGGTATTTGACTTTGAAAACGATGGATATGAACTGAGCTACATGGGGATTCCCAAAATTTTCTCTCATTCCATAAATCACCAGAGACACCATGCATCTTAAATGGAAGGAGTTCCTTAAAATCTGGGAAGCATCTGGATTTCTCTGTCTGGGGGATACCAGCTGCATGGCATAATAACTTGTGCATATTCGTTATTACTGAGGGTCAAGTGTGTTTCCATTTGATCATCACATCTCTGTGATGGATCTTCTGGGCAGGTATGTATATAACATACCCAGGAACACAGAAATGGGAACTGCAGTGCCAGGCCCCAGGAGTCTGGAAGGGCTCAGTTAGGGAGGGGTCCACCTTGCCTTGGAGAGTCTCAGAGAGGGTGCGGTGCAAAGTGCCAGTTCAGAAGGGCACGTGGGCTAGCCATGCTCTGGACAGCAAGTAGGAGAGACTGAGGAGGAGAGCCAGCCACTCACATTAGAATCGGCATTGTTAAAAGTGGCATTCCTTAATTGCAATCATGGGTGAGTCATTCCATATTGATAATTATTCCTAATGTTCTCTAACGCTCGTGGGAGATGTAAGAATGACAAAGCGATGTAGAAAGAACACTTTCCTATGCACACTTCTGACCTTGAGAGGCAAGCCCTTGTAAGCATGCTGCTTTATACCTGGCACTTACCTGGCCGGGGTAAGTGGTCACCAGCAGTAGATGACACCAGGGACTCTCTCCAGGTGGAAAGGACATGCCAGTCTCTGGTTGGCTAATGGCCAGCCTCTAATCTCTAACTCATTTACAATCTGGGCTTTTGTTTTTGCACAAGAGCGTGCCATGCTGGTAACATGTGGGCTGCCTTTGAAAACGCGGCACTCTTGCCTCCTGTCCCAGGCAGCCGCTCCCAGCACCTGTGGGAAGGGGTTGCCTGCTGAAAGGCGGCTGGCTGCCTGTGATAGGAAGTGTGCTTATGCTCGCCTGTGGGGTTGGATCAGGAGGGTGATGTGCACATGATGGTAAGTGGTTACTTTGGCTAGTTATGCAAATAGAGACAGAGTTCACATTTTTTAAGGTTTTGTCACCCCCTTCTCTTCCAGCATTTATAACTCTCTTTCTTGAGATCAAAGTCTACAGAACTTTCACAAGTCTTCTCAGCATTCCCTAAACATGTACGCACAGCCAAGGCTCCCTCAGCGGAAGGGAGTTGGACCAGTGTGGGGAAGTGTGGTGAACATGGTGAACTTGGAGTCCCAGGCTTGCATATGCTCCATAGTGTTGAATGAAAGCCTTGTTTTGCAAGAACTGGTCATTGCTAAGAGATACATGGAAATTATTTTCCATGATATCATCTGGGCTTTAGAGACTTTATTTTTTTTTCCCTCTTCTCCTGCATAATAACATACCTCTGTTACAGCCAATTTTTTTCTTCACTGGTTGTGCTTGCTTTCTCACTAAGCTGCCTTTTTGTACATGTGGCTAGGTGGTAATACAGTTGCTTTCTTTACTCCGGCAAAGTTAGGTGCTAGGTGCCTTCCCGGGTTTGCGTACAGCCCGCAAAGTTCGAGAACGTGTCCTGAGAGTTATAAACAGGAACCCTGTTGAATATGTCAAAAATTTCTTACTTTAATGGTGATTTAAAAAAAAAAATGACACACTCTGCGTCCTAGACTTAGTGGCTCTCTCTGACAGATGTCACCTCTGCCTGCCCTCACCAGCTCAGAACCCAGAGGGTTCTTTCTGTAGGTGGAGGCTGAGGTGCCCAGAGGCACACCGGGTGCCAGCGACCGGTTTAACGCCGGTGCCCAGGCAGGCGCGGACACATCCCTTCGGCTAGGGAAGTACAGTACCTGCTGGGGACGAGCAGAGAAAATGGTAAAGTAAGCTCTCGGGGTGTCTGGCCACAAAGCTCTCCCCTCTGGCCTCACCAGCCTGTTTGCCGAATTCTCCTCTTCTAGGAAAGTCTGCTGGGTTTTGTCTCACTTTGAGGAGAGAGGGAAAGGCCACAATATCTGTCTGGGGGTTACACTGGGCTCTTTCTTTCGGGATGACTGTCTCTACTAGCAGGAAACTCAGGACTGTGTTGAGTTACACGGTGGCGGGGGATAGCAGGGAGGGAGGTGCAGCCTGTTCTCTGTCCAGCGAATGGGAATGGACGAGCAGCTGGAGTCATGGGCACTTGATCTGTTTCCCCACGTGCAGGTCCACCAGTATTACAGCTGTCTTCCAGAGGAGAAGGTCCCGTATGTCAACAGCCCTGGAGAGAAGCTGCGGATCAAGCAGCTTCTCCACCAGCTTCCACCACATGACAATGAGGTAAGGGGGGAATGGAGGAGGGCTTACCAAGACTAAGACTCTTCTAGAACTTTCAATGAATTGACACCTTTTCCATGATCAGAATGCCATGATCAAGGAGAGCTTTGGCAACTTATTTCCAGTCTTAGCTCCCTTAATTGGAGCCAAAATCAACTGTCCAGAACTTTCTGGAACGTGTTGCCTAAGAGCAGAATCTCATTCTGAACTGAGCTAGCCTCTACACAAGGCTCTGCTCAAGATTTCCAAGGACCCTGGGAGAACTATAATTTAGAAGCTCAAGTCCAGGTTTTCTTGGTTGAAGAGGAATGTGCCTCGGTGGTTTGCCTGTGAAAGAGGTGACTGGAAGTCCAGCAAAAACCTTGTGACTCTCTTTGAACATGAACTTCATTTCACGTTAAAGAGAAGAACACAAGTTTTCCACGTGACACGACAGTTGATGTAACGGACTGGATTTGCGGTTCTGAACATCTGGGGCTTTGTGATCATCCAGTCTGACTTGTGGAAGGGGACGAGCATTTGTGTACATGAAATACGATTCACAGATTGTCCCTTTTCCTCATCCCAGATAGAAAGCCCTGAGAGCAGACGTGTCTCGTCTTTCATGTCAAACTGATCATGGAGGCAAATTTGCAGATTGTAAATTGATTTAAAAAAAAAAAAAAAAAAAGAATACCTGGTTTGAAAAGGAATACCAATCCTAGGTGCTAGAGAACTGAAACTTCTGTTCACTGAACTTTCTTCAGAAACTGAAGTTTCTGTTCACCGCTTATATTTTAAGCCGCCCCTGAAAAAAAATAAAAATAATTTGAAATGGAAAGGATTAAACCTCTTTAAGGAGACTTGGCAGAACTTTCCCTGCCCACAGCCAGGTCAGTCAAAACAGCTTAAGCCCAGGGAAAATGAGGGAGTACGGCCTTATTTTCCTTCATTTGGGTAAAAGGGAGGAAGATATATTGACGGCCTGTCAAATAAATGTAAAGAACTCTGCTAATATAATTGAGCTACTGACTAAGTTGAGCAATTGGAATCCACCAGCAGCTCCCATTTCCGGGGGAGAAAGATGGACAATCTTTCTCTGTAACGATTATCAGCCCAGGAAGCTCAAAGGAAGGGCACTATATTAGAATTGATGCAATAGCAGTAGGTTTGGATTTTTAAAAATTAACGTGACTGTTAAAAAGGAGCCTGGGCAGCCCAAGTAGTTTGTGATTTGACCTGAAGTTCGGCAGTTCTGGCCCACCCATTAGTGCCACAGAAGAAAGGCCTGGTGACCTGTAAGAACTGAAACAAATGCAAACTGAAGACAGCCCTCAGGAGTTCTCCATGACACCTGGGGTTTCCTGGAGTCAGCGTTGACTCAGCTTCAGCAGGCTTAGGGTTTGTTGTGTTTGTTTTCTTTAAAAAAAAAAAAGTATACCTAAGGCCGACAAAAGCTTAAATACAGAAGCAACTCCTTAGAAAGCTATCCCATTTCCTTTGCTGCTGCTGCTTTCAGTCCTCATCAAATGCAAATAAAGCTTCTCCCTTTAAAGCTGAGAGCACTCAGTGTAACCTGATGCGTGGTTAACTCATCTGGAAGCTGGCATGCGGGTTTTTACAAGCTTGAGGGGTGTGCCTCTCTTTACAAGCATGTCCATAAAACGTCAGCCGTGTAACTGTGTATTCTGGGCCTTTTCAGGTCACTTGCAGCCCCCTCTCTGGGACAGCCCCACAGGGCAGTTGTTGTTCTAGCTCTGTTTTGCTAGGCAGAAGTTTTCCGCTCATGTCTGCTTTTAGGGATTTGTTCTGTGTGCGGTTAACTTTGATTGCATGAGAAGAGACACTATTCAAATGACTTCTTCCTGCTGGTGGGAATTTCTTGCATGTGACCAGTAGGCCATTTTAGCTCTTTGGAGGACAAAGGGTGACTCTAAAGTAAATATTTTATCATCTTCTTCCCCACCCCACCCTACCCCCAACCCCCAGGTCAGGCCATCTTGATATGCACAGCTGCAGTCTAGGGGAATTGCTAGTTGCGCTGATTTTTTTCATTGGAACTTGACAGTTCTCATTCAAAGGATTTTCCTATAACCAGCTGTAGGACCCATTTTCTGAGCCATTCTATTCATTTTTTCTGATTGCCCAGATTACTCCAGATAATACAGGAGATGAGGGGAGAGCTAGATCTTCCCTCTCAGAAAAAACCCAAAAAGTAGTACAGTCAAGTCCACTCTTAACTCACACAAACCCTGTGGGATCGGGTAGAGCTGACCCACAGGGCTTCCAAGGATGAGATCTTAGGGAAGCAGGCAGATGTATATTTCTCCAATGAGTTTGAACTACTCACCTTTTAGTTGGTAGCAGAGTGCTTTAACTACTATGCCACCCATGATTCTCTAAGCATAATATGTAAATGACTTTGTGTGGTACATGGAAATGGTAATAAATTAAATTGAACCACATAAGTGGGAAAATTAACCCCTGTTGAATTTTGGTTCGTTCCTGGCCTTGTAGGTGGTTGAATAATGGAAGAAGGTGTGTCAGTGTGATTCTAGCGTGTCTCTTGCATCCCTAACTCATACTAGTCTCTGCTTTTCAATATGTGCATTTAGGGACCTCCCTAAGCAGCATGGCCTGTTGTAACCTCACAAAGTGCTTTTCTTCTCACTTTGTTTTCATGGTTAACCTTCTGCGTTTGGCAGCTGAGACTATGTCTAGTCATAAAGACACTTTATTTTTTAATAAATGTACTGTGGTGCTGGAAAAGAGTATTGAATGTACCATGGACTGCCAAGAAAACAAATAGATTCATCCTAGAGAGGGTTAAACCAGGCTGCTCCTTGGAGGCAAGGATTTTGGGGCTTCGCCTGACATACTTTGGACATGTTGTAAGGAGAGACAGGTCTTTAGAGTGGGACATCATGCTGGGCAGAGTGGAGGGACAGCGCAGGAGGGGAAGACCCTCTATGAAGTGGATTGATTCAGTGACTGGGGTAATCGGGATGGGTGTGTCAGAGGCAATGAGATTGGCACAGGATAGAGCACGGTTTAGGGCTGTTGTACATAGGGTCGCTATGAGTCGAAAACGACTCGACGGCACATAACAACAACAACCCCAGGTTTAAAAGTATATCAGTTTTTAAACAATAGAAAATAATAGTTCAAGGTTCTTGCAAAATTCTCACTTAAATAAAAAAGGGATAAAATGGAAAATACTGGATTCGGATGACTTTCATGTCCCCTTCTAAAGTCTCTAAATTTCTGTGTCTAAGAAGGGAAAATCTGGCACAGGTTGGTACACTTCGCCAGAGCCTGGCGGGCACCCTTCCCCTCTTGCACGCAGATAAGCACACAGGAACATCCGTGTAGCACAACGCGCACTCCTGGACCAGCTCAGTCTCAAGACTTGGTTTCTCCATTTCTCCAGAATGAAATGAGAGTTCATAAGGCACCTGTCGGAAGTCTCCATGGCTGCAGGGGGCTTCAGTTTCAGGACCCCACCATCCAGCTGAGACACTGAGGAAGTCTGAGAGCTTCATAAGCACCAAAACTATCTGTAGATAATTTTCATTTCAGCTCAGTAATTGAGCATCTTTGCAGTGAGCCGAGCGGGGTGGTAAGAATGAGATGTCATAGTACCTCGTCTGTCCTGCTCAGGACTTGGGCTCCAGGGTTTGGGGCTGTTTATAAGCTCTGTTGATTCATCGGTCTTGATGGAGACTCACCCTCAGTGGCATCAATCCCAGTGTTTTTACAGTTCAGGCAAGGGTGACCATATGAAGGTATTTAATTTGAGAACTCTGTGGCCTGGGCTTCAGGAACCTTGAGGCCCAGAGTGACTGCCTTGTTGCTATTCTCTGTGTTGTTCAGGTTCGATACTGCAACTCTCTGGATGAGGAGGAGAAAAGGGAGCTGAAGCTGTTCAGCAACCAGAGGAAGCGGGAAAACTTGGGCCGGGGCAACGTCCGGCCCTTCCCAGTCACCATGACGGGAGCTATATGTGAACAGGTGAGTATGGATGGACACGGGGCAGTGATGAGATTGCCCTCATCCCCTCACACTTTTTCATTCAGTCATCAACTGCCAGACATTGTTTGCGGCCTTGGGGGCTACAGTAGTGAACAAAGACAACAGTGTTATTATGTCCTTGTCAAGAGTTATGTTCTGAGAGAAGTCAGAGGGTAAATCAATAAATAAAATAGGAGAGAAACCAGCCCACTTCCAGGAAGGATGCTACGATGTGCCTGAAGTGTGGAAGGTTGTCATTTCAAATAACGTGGCTGAGAAAAGCCCCCACTGGGCGGTAGTATTTGAGTCAAGACATGCTAGAACTGAGGCGATGAGTCACACATACTTTGGAAGAGAGGAGACAGCCAGCTGAAAGGCCTGCGGGCAGAAGTGGGCCATTGTGTTCCAAGAGGCAGAAGGTGTGATGGGGAACAGCTTAGTGGAGAAGGTCAGAATCCTGGACTGTGATGGGAGCCACCAAAAAAAAAAAAAAAAAAAAGAGCAGAGTCCAATTTTTGTAATGACTTCTTTAGAAAACAGAATTTGCCTAGTTCATGGACCGACTTCTTTCCCAGAATCCTCCAAGGACCTTCTGGAAGGGTAGTAATATGAGCTGCTTCTGGGATTGAGGTTTCTTAAGCAAAAGTGCACGGAGTCTCCCAAGACCTCACTGAGTTAGTCTGGATTGCCGGTTCTCTTGCTCACAGTAGAGTGCTCTGGGTGTGGTGGGAGAGGCTTTTGAAGATCGGATGTGGAAACCCAGCCTACGTGGGTTCCCTCTGCCCCACTTCTCAGTTGCCAAACACCTTCCATTGCCAGTGGTCGCTTCCTGCATCTCTATGCCCTGCTGCTTTGTGTACAGCTTCTTCTAACTCTTTCAGCTCTTGATGGACCCAGTCAGGCACTGAAGTCAGCTACATACAGAAAAGGGGCCATACAGATGAGTATCCATGCTCCGTAAGGGGAATGGGTACTGTGTAGGGGCCTTTGTTTAAGCTCTCAGATGGGTACAGGGAAAGCCTCAGGTGGTTGGAATAGAGAAGTTGTTTGATGAGGACAGATAATGGACCAGAGATGTGGCAATGGGGTCTTCATCCTCACATCCTGGAGACCACCCTTGAGACGCAATAGTCAGTGACTACAGTGTGACTTGGTTGTGCTCGGGACCCTCTGCCATGCTCACACACAAGCCCCTGTGACCAGCTAAGCTGGGTCTGCCTCAGGCAGGAAGAAGATTGAGGCTTGTGAGCAGATGTCAAGGGCATTGCCAAGATCATGGAGACAGAAAGACATGCATTCGCCTTATGTTTCTGCCTTGTGACCTTGACCAAATGACCTCTCCTCAGGTTAGTCCTTTGCAGAATGGAGCACTGCGTGTCTATGTCTGAGCATTATGATGAAAATTAAATGGCATTATGTTGGTGGCAAGTCTGCCAATGTGACCATACAAGACAGGATAGTATTTTCTACAGTCCTCCTCCAGAAGAGTTGTTTCATGAAGGCTTTACTTCTCTAAATCCATACAAATTCTCTCAAATGAGAAAAGCTGGGGGATAGGTTTTTTTGTTTGTTTTTGGTTTTACGTTTGTTTTTTTACACTCTTTAGACATCATCTCCAGAGCTCGACCACTCTCAGGAAGCCATATAGTGCTTAACCCCCAGCTAGCCCGGAGTCAACTGTCACCATCCCCTTAGACCCATGGCTTCATGCTTGACTTCTTGTCAAAGACCCTCAGGCCACATCCTCCAACCTCTATCCTCCACCCACGAACATGGATCATTCTTATTTCACCTAATTAATTAAAAGTTAAGCATGAAATCTTCGAAAATGAGTGAGAAGGTAGGGAAGATGCTTTTTCATAGCCTGGTCTCACAAGTGGCATCTTTTCTATCATGACAATGTAAAAAGATGTTAAAGGAAAAGCGTGTGTGAAGGGTGGGTAAAGGATACCTGGTAACGGCAGAGCTGGCAGTTTTGAACCCCCCGGGGCTCAGCAAGGAGAATAGCCTGGTGATCTGCTGCCTTAGAGGTTACAGCTTAAAACCCTACGGCCTGTTCTACTCTGTCCTATGATCTCACTATGAATCAGGCACCAAACAACAACAACTAAGGATGGGCAGAGGTTGTAAAGGATTGCATGCCACAGTGCAGACCCCGCCCTCTCCCCTGGTCCTCTCTGAGTCCTCCACATCTGGCCCCCGCTTTCCCAGCGAGATCTTCCTGGTGTTAAACTTGGCTCTGCCTCTGAAGTCCTGTGAGGATCTTACCACTAACGAGCCTCATGTCCTGCAGGAGCCTCCGACCTGCAGAGTTCTTGTACGTTAGTATAAGGACAGCTCATTATAAAGAAAATTGGTCTTTAGTTGTTGCCCCAAGGAAAGGAGAAAAGGGGACGGTCTGGGAAAATCAGCCCCACCAAGTATTTAAAGCAGGTTCACACTGGAATGCATTTGAAAGTTATCTGCTCCCAGCTCTTGGGGAGCTTTGGTGGCTTCATGGTAAGGAGTTGGACTGCCAGGGCAAAGGCACATGGTTTGGACCCATCAACTGCTTTGTGGGAGAAAGATAGGCAGCCTCCTCCTGTGTGATTGCCCTGAAAACCTGCTGGAGGATCAGCTGTGTATTGGCTCTGGCATGACAGTACTCAGCCTCAACAAGCCAGCTATTGATGTGGTCTTACTGTTGTTATCACTGCCATCCTTTGTGAAAAGCTAAGGAGCAGACCCGGGAGATGGGGTGCTGTGGATACTGATGCCTCTTTGTCCCACAGTGCGGAGGCCAGATCAATGGTGGAGACATCGCTGTCTTTGCATCGCGCGCCGGCCACGGTGTCTGCTGGCACCCACCCTGCTTCATCTGCACTGTCTGCAACGAGCTGCTGGTGGACTTGATCTACTTCTATCAAGATGGGAAGATATACTGTGGCCGGCATCACGCTGAGTGCCTGAAGCCACGCTGTGCCGCCTGTGATGAGGTTAGTCCATCCTGGAAGCCCACCTCAGTGGCATCCTTTGTTCTGGGCCTTCCTGCACGGGGGGACATCAAGGCAAACCTCGCTCCCCCTCTTATTTTAGCCCTTTCAAAAGAGAAAATCTAGCTAGTCCCATCCATTCCTGGTTCCTAGAATATACAGAATTGTGGCCAGCTAACCAGAACAGCCATCTCCTGGACCTCCTAATGGGGTTTTTTTACGTAGTTCAGAAGTTCCCCAATGGCACCTTCTGGCACTAAGTCAGTTCAGAACTCTTAAGAGGAAAAAAGAATACCAGGAAGAGTGGTTGGCAATGGAGTGCTACTTAAAGCATAAAGCAATTCAGTTCTCAAAATGTAATGGGAGGGACAGACTGGTTTGGGAACAGAAGAGAAGTGATAGCGATATTTGATGGTCATAAAGGTTTTATTTAAAGTGTGGAGTGAGGATTTGAGAGACAGATCCACTTAAACATCTCTAGTGGAATTCTTGCCTTTCTTGCAGAAGACCTGGTGTCATTCATTTCCCAACTAGTACACCTCGTGCACAGTCACCACCTGTCTGTCAGTTGAGGCTTGTGTGTTGCTCTGCAGGTTTCAGTAGAGTTTCCAGACAGACTAAGGCAGAACAGGAAGAAAGGACCTGGTGGTCTACTTCTTAATATCAGCCTGTGAAAATGTTATGAGTCACATGGCCCAGTCCTGTTGTAGGAGGAATTGAGTAAGAGTTACCTCCTGTTGAATAGGAAGCAACTGACAGCAGCTAATAACAATAATTGTTGATAAGAATGTAGACTAGAGGCCCAGGCCAGAAGGATTTCTCCCAGGAGAAGCACACCCAAGTATGACTCGTAAGCTGAACAAACAAAACCTGGTTTTAGATTTGACTGTTTAGAGTAGAAAGGAAAATGTTCTAAACCTGACTTCTTTCATGGGAATAATTTTGGAGGAAATTGTGGTTGTCTCCTGTGTGTGGGAGGTCTTCGGGTCTTAACAGTGGGTTTCCTGGTAGCACAGTGTTGAAGCTCTCAGCTACTACCTAGAAGTTTGAACCCACCAGCCACAGGAGAATGATGTGATGTTTTACTTCTGCAAAGATTCACAGCCTTGTAGACTTTATGGGGCAGTTCTCATTTATCCTTGAGAGTCACTATGATCAGAAATGGCTTGATGTCACTTAATGACATTGATCCTCTCCATTGTCAACCATAGAATGTCTATTATTATGTGGCCATTGCTCTTACAACGGACTTTGCGCTTTAGAAGGTGATCAGTTTAATTAAGTTGCTTCTAATGCTATTAGTGGTTTCTGGAAAGACCTTCTGGGGAGACAGTAGGAACAATGAGTGGGGTTCCAACTCTCTGATTCTCAGCAACCACTTTATCTTCCTGCTTCAGTTATCACACCTGGAAATCAGTGCTCATAATAGGACTTTGTGTTATCCAATGGCAAATCGTGATTTGCCTTAAAATTGTTTAATTGATGTATAACTCACATGCCATAAAATCTACACTTAAAGGTACAAGGTAGTTGAGGGGTTTATTGTTCTGTTAAGAGTATATACTATACAGCCGTCCACACTGTCTAATTCGGAATCTGTTCACCATTCTAAATAGAAACCGTGGCTTTTCATCAGTCTATTCCTGTTCCTCTCCACCCCACCCCCACCTCTCCTCCTGACAATCACCATTCTGTTTTTCTTTCTCTATGAATTTGCATAGTCTAGATATTTCATATAAATATAGCTTGTAATCTTTTGTGTCTTGCTTCATTCCCACAGCATGTTTTCAAGGTTTTATCTACATTGTATGGAATACCATCTTTTTCATTCCCCTTGCTGAATAATACTTCATTATATAGACATGCCATATTCTGTTGGCTTGTTCATCAATTGATGGACATTTGCATTATTTCCATGTTGTGGCTATTATGAATAATGGTGCCGTTCACACTCATGTATAAGTTTTTATGTAGATAGACTTTTGCGTTCTTGTGGTGCGTTCTGGGAATGGAATTGCTGAATCGTAGTGTAACTCACTCGCTGAGGGGAGGACAGACTGCTTTTCCAGAGCACCTTTCCGTTGTCTTCATTAGAGCATGGGGGCTCAGTTTCTCTGCAGTCTTGCACATGCTTGTGATTGTCTGTCTCTTCCATAATAGCCATCCTCCGGGGTGTCAGGTGGCATCTGCTGGTGGTGTTTGATTTGCATTCGTTAAAGGGCTGATGATACTGAATTATTTTGCATGTTTATTGACCATTTGTGTAGCAAATCTCTTGCCTTAAGGAGCTTTGGTGGCAGAGTCTGTAACTAGAGCATGTTGTGTTGCTAACCAGATCACTTTTTTTTCGTTAGTGGGGCTTTTTTCTCAGCGCTGTGTATATGTTCTAGGTACGAGTCCGTTATCATTATCAATATATAACTTCCCAATATTTTTCCTTTATTCTCTGGATTATATCTTCATTTTCTTTGATAGTATCTTTTGAAACACAAAATTTTCTGCTTTTTAGCACTTCCACTTTACCTGGGTTTATTGGTTATGCTTTCAGTGTTGCACCTAAAAGTCACTGCCTCTTCTAATGTCAGGAAGCTCTTGGTGAGTTGGTGTTAAAGAACTGTGCTGCCAGGGGAGCTCTGGTGGCCTAGTGGTAAGGAGCTGCAACTACAATCCCAGAGGCGCACGGTTCAAATCCACCAGATGCTCTGCCGGGGAAGGAGGGACAATCTCCTCCTGTACCAGTCAGATCTGATTTGACAGTACATTCACACAAAAATAATAAAATAAAAATAAATAAAAGAACTGTGCTACCAAGCCAGAGGCACGAGGCCCAAATCAGCCAGCTGATCCACAAGAGAAGGATTGACAGTCTTCTCCCATGTGATTTACTGCCTCTGAAACCTGCTAGAAAGTCAGCTATGAGTCAGTTCCAACTTGAGACACAGCAGTCTAAGGTCACCAAGATGTACACCTATGCTTCTGCTAAGAGTTTAATCCTTTTTACCTTACAGTTGCGTCTGAGATTCCTTTTAAATTAATTTCTTAATGAAGGTGAGCTTGGGGCTCAGATACATTCTTTTGTGTACAGGCATCCCCTTTTTTGTACAGTACTGGGACAAAGGGCCCACCCATACTGTTTGTTGAAAAGAGTGTTCTTTACCTGTTGAATTGTCTTGCTGTCTCTTAGAAAAATCAAGTGTTTAGAAACCTGGGGGCCGGGGGAGTTGTTGGTGTTTGTTTGTTTACTTTGCATTCTGTTTCCTTGATCTATATGTGCATCTTGTTGCCAGTGTCACACTGTCCTGATTACTGTAACTGTAACTTTGTGCTAAGTTTGGTTGCTGTGCCTTGAATTAGGGAAACTGAAAACTTACATATTTGGAGCCAAAATGCAAACACTTCTTAGGTCTCATCTCATATTGTAAAGAAAGGTGATATATTTTGCGGCAATACGGAATACTGAAGAACCTGATCCGTGGGAGAAATTGCAACTTATCCAGAAGTACCAGCCACCTTCTCGCTCTGTCCTGGTGCCATATAGTCATGGGTTCTGAACATCGCCAAATGCTACATTTTTTAAAAGAGAAGCTAGGCTTCCAATGTTTATATGAAACTTCTTTATTTTTAAAAATATTGTGTACTAGCCCAATGAAACAGATGTGTTTGTGTTTGATGAAGGAGCCCATGAGCTATCAATTCATGGAACTGCTATAATTGTCAAGACAGAAAATTCTTTCTGTTTTTGAAATATGGTAAAATTTATCCCTGGCCAGTCCAGAAACTAGGTTTAATTTTGCTTCAGGCAAATCCTAATTTGGGAGCTCGTATAATAGATTGAGATTGTTAACAGCTTCAGTTTGCTTGGCTCCACAATCAACATTCTTGATACCAGCAGCCAGGACATTAAAAGATGAATTGCATTGGGAAAGTCTGCTCTAAGAGACCTTTCCAAAGTACTGAAAAGCAGTAATGTCATTCTGGAGACCAAGGTTCACCTGATTGAGGCCATAGCCTTTGACTTGCTATGCATCAAAAAGTTGGACAATGACTAGGTATGATAGAAGGAGAACTGATGTCTTTGAGCTGTGGTGCTGGAGAAGAGTATTGAGTATACCATGGACTGATAGGAGAACAAATAGGTTTGTCTGAGAGAGGGTGAGACCAGGATGCTCCTTGGAGGCAAAGATTCTGAAGCTTTGGACATTTTGCAAGGAGGGACCAATCCTTGGAGAGGGACGTCATGCTTGGGACGGTGGAGGAACAGTGCAAGAGAGGAAGACCCTTGATGAGATGGATTGATTCAGTGACTGGAGTAATGGGAGTAAGTATGTCAGAGACAATAAGGTTGGCATGGGATAGAGCAGAGTTTAGGGCTGTTGTACATAGGGTCGCTATGAGCTGCAGGCAACTCAATGGCACATAACAAAACAACAACATAATAGAATATACATATGCATTTCTATATTATTATTGTTTGATAGGTCATTGCCTGGAACTGCTTTCCCACCACTCTAATACGAGGAGACCCCTTAGCTTTTCTTGTTTAAAGCAGGTGCATATGACTGGGTCTCACACACTGACCATTTGGCTTTTCCACCTCCAGATCATCTTTGCTGATGAGTGCACAGAAGCGGAGGGCCGTCACTGGCATATGAAGCACTTCTGCTGCTTTGAATGCGAGACAGTGCTAGGAGGTCAGCGCTACATCATGAAGGAAGGCCGACCCTACTGTTGCCACTGCTTCGAGTCCCTGTACGCCGAATACTGCGACACTTGTGCCCAACACATCGGTAAGGCTCCCCTCAGGGCTCAGCATGTTACTTGATCTCCACTGGGTCTGGAATAAAAAGAAGTCCTTTGGTTACACGGGATAGTGTCCCACTTCATACTAGCCTGTGTGGAAGAGGAGATTTCCTGGAAAGGCCACAGAATAGAGCTGGCTTCAGGAAAGGACAGATCAAGGATTCAAACAGAAGGTTGCTTTTTCCTCCATGACTTAGCTCACCTTGCTTTCTTAAGACCTCCATCCTCATGGGGAGAGAAGCCGTGTCTCTTCTAGTATCCGGTTCAGTCCCTCTGAGTAGGAATCTTACTGGCTTGGCTTCTGTCTTATGCCCACCCCTGAGATCACAAGGCTATGTCTTCCTGCCAGGGGGCCTACCTGGGAGGTGATGCTATGTGAGGGACAGCCCAGGACCAAAGATGGGAGGAGAGGTCTCAGAAGGAAAATCTTAGGGGAAAATAGGGATCAACTTAAGGAGAAAGCAGCTCTCTTGGTGAAGAAATTTACAGGAAACTCCAAGGGTAGGAAGACTTAGCAATGACTCTGACTTGCCCTTAAATGTTAAGTAAATTAACCTTCACTTTGAAAGTTTTTGAACCAAACTTACACCACAATCACTTTCACTTGCTGCAAGTGTAGTTTTTAGATCATTGAAAAGACTTTGAGACATTGCTTCCAACCCCAACTAAAGTCAGCCCAAATAAGAATCGTATGTGCTGATCCAGTTTGCCTACTAGTTCAACTTAAAGACACAGAAACTGTTCTCGTCTGTAACCCAGGCACTGCCAATAGTCAAGGAGAGAAAATGTCTTTCGGCAAGCCTGGCATTACAAACAGAAACATAGCTCAAGCTGACCCAGCTCTACTTAGCCAAATTCAAAGCAAAAGAATGGCAAGCCTGACATTACAAACAGAAAAGAAGCTCAAGCTGACCCAGCTCTACTTAGCCAAGTTCAAAGCAGAAGAATAGCGCATGAGCCATAAACTCCCCAAGTAAGTGGCAACAGATCTGAGATGGTAAAAATGATTTTCCCTTTGGACATAACCATTTGTTCAACCCTTTGATGACACCCAGATCATACAAAGTTTGTGACTCGCTCATTCTGCTTGACTTTCCTGGCACCTTGGGGATGAGCCGCTCTTTAAAATTGGAGGTGGCTGAATGTCTGAGACCAGCAGCACAGGCTCCCTGTGGCTCAGGCATTTGCAGGAAGTCCGTTCAGGAGCTGCCAGCTTGTGACCTAGAATGAGGAGATGTGACAGTCATCAGTTTCAGAGCCCGATTTGTACCACTTAAAAGATTTCATCAGGACAGAAAGAATTGGCTTTGTCTCCCTGGTCCATCTGGAGTACTAGATTTAGATGAAAAATTGTCTAGTGATTGGGGAGGATTCTGTTGTGATAAAAATCACTCCTTTATGCACCAGCCACCCATGGAGAGCTCAGTGGTGTGTGTCATTGGAGAGGCCTAGGCCTGCCTCCCTGGGGCCTTCTGGTCTGGAGTCCTGTGTCAGGACCAAGGGTGAGGGCTGTTTTGAAGACCTTTGTCCTGATGAGGGGGTTTGGTGACACACAGGTCCCTTTATCCTGAAACCTTTACCCCCTCAGGGTCTGAAGCCTTAGTCACGTATCCAAGAGCTTTCTTTCCTCAAAGACCAAACAGACAGAAAAACAGACTAAGAGGTAGAAGGGATCTGCCTCATGACGGGTGGCTGGACATGTGCAGAGGAGGAATGGGACTGTGTCAGGGAAGAAGGCACAACATACTGTCTGTCCAGTGTGGCTCATGCGTTCTTCGTCCACAAGTTATTGGTTGCTCAGAAGTGAGGGGTACAGAAGATGCACCTGCAGTGTCAATACCCCATCCATTAATATTTCTGTTTCTTCTGTCTTTAACATGGAAATTGAAAAACCTTTGAAGAAACTGCTAGATTTTCATTCAATGATGTGGGAGAGATTGAATGTGCCTTTAGCGCTACAGTGCATGCACCTCAGAAGGTTCTTGTAGTCCTTTATTTTAGCTGCTTAGCATTTAAGAAGACTACCGTGGTAGACAGCGATTGGTGGAGCTCCCTGATTCAAATAAGCTCGGAAGCAGGAGTAGCATCCACTTCCGAAATAGCTTGCCTCTGGAAACCCTATGAATGTGGATGAAGGATGAAAGTTATACAAGTGTTCAGGTCTTTCTTTCATAGGGTCACTATGAGTTGCCTATGACTTGACGGCACTTAACAACAACAGCAGCAGCCTGGTGTTATGGTTAAAGCATTAGGCTGCTGATAAGCAAAGGATTAGCAGTTCAAACCCATCTGCTGCTCCATGAGAAGAAAGTTGTAGCAATCTGCTTCTGTAAAGATTTACAGTCTTGGAAACCCTGCGGGCAGATCTGCTCCTACGTCCAGGGTCACTGTGAACCAGAATAAGCTCCAGTGGCAGTGAGTTTAGTTTGGTTTGGCTTGGTAGCACGTTTGGTAAAAGCACTTGATTGCTAACCAAAAAGCCTCGTGGTTGGAACTCAAACAGCATCTACAGAGGAGAGAAGACGTGACAGCCCCCCCCCCCTTAGATATCACAGCATTGGAAACCCTGTGAGCAGTTCAGCTCTGTCCTAAGGGTCCCTGTTAGACAGAATTAACTCATTCACACACAGCAGGAAGTTAGGCTTTGTTTGCTTCCGCTTCTCCTCTCTTATTGGTTGTTGTGGTGTGCCACATGGCTAACCCTCCAGCAGGTTTTCAGAGGCAGTAAAATGCTTGGAAGGAGATTGCCCATCCTCCTCCTACAGAGCAGCTGATGGATTTGAACCCTGTGCCTTTGAGATTGCAGTGTAAGTTCTTAACACTAGGCCACCAGAGAGCGTCTTTTTTTTTTTTTTAAAGTCCATAAAAAGACATTTGTACTTCACCAGAAAAAGAACCCACTGGGGGCTGCAGGATCCTCAGTGCTGTCACTGAAATGCTGCCCTTAATTTTTCTCTTTTTAAAAAGATTCCTTTTTTGGCAAAGCATCATTTTTCTGCACGGTCAAAGGGTCTCCTCTGAGCTCTGTACCTTCTGCACTGGCTACGTGCTCTGACGCTGCCCATACTGTGCAAACATCCCCTATTTATACAGCCGCGCAGAGCCGACCCTGCATCAGGCGGCTGTTGCCGGGGCAACGGAGCTTTTGCCTGCGCACAGCAGAGTAAACAGTCCTATAAACAGACCGAGGCTGTAGCAGCAGTAGACACACACCCTCGGAGAAGTGCTTAAAAGGCTTAGTGAGGGAATGAGAAGGAAAGCTTAGAAGTTGGGCAGCTGAGCCCTTCTCCAGATGTTCCGAGTTCAGGAGCAGTTCAGAGGACCATCTGACGTCGCTGATGTTTAGCAGGGACCACGCTCTACTGCCTGTCGGGCTGCTTTATGGCAGCGGCCCCCCGAACCCCCAGCCTGGGCCTCCATCCCAGAACCGAGGCCTCGGCTGCAGCAGCTGACAATGGCCCCTTGCAGAAGCTAAGGAGCTGCTTTTGGGGTGCAGGCCATGGGAACTGGGCTTCCTGTTATCTCTGAGAGGGTGTCAGCATGGTTCCAGCGTCTTGGGAACCTGAGATGGGCCAGAGATCACCACAGGGGTACCAGCTCAGGCTCTCGAGATATTTGGTGCGTGACAGAAGGGATCAGAGGGCAAGGAGGAAGACCCTTTGGGCCAGGTTCAGAGTGGATTCTGTATTCCAGCTGTGTCCCAGAAGTCACTCTCAGAGCAAAGCTGGAGACAGGCCCCCTGCCCTAATATGAAGAGTAATAGCAGGTCGAACAGTTCACAGCCACAAGTCTAAGCGTTCTGGGCATATTAACTCATTGGGTTCTCAGGTAACCCTGTGAGGTAAGTACTGTGATTATCCATGTTTCACTCCTGAGGAAACCAAGGCAGGGAGGGATGATGCAGCTGTCCGAGGGTCACAGAGCTGCAAAGAGGAGAGCAAAGGCCTGAACCAAAGCAGATGGCAGCAGCGCCCATGTCCTTGCAAACAGTGTAGGCCTGGGTTTCAGCAGCTGTTTTAAGGTGGAGCTGGGACTTGAACCTGCATTTGGCTGACTCCTGGCCTCCCTTGTACCTGCTGTGGAATCCTGTCCCCAGCATGCAAGCTCCTCAGGCTCCTGCTTCCTCCCAGGCATGGGCAGAAAGTGTGGTCACCCTCAGTTCTGAATGGTCTGCTTTGTAGCTCTGCCCGGACCTTTCTCATCCTTCTTGGAAATTCAGGTACTAAAGGCAAGGCAGCCAGTTCACACAGTGTCCCTCTCACCTCTGGGTGACTCCTGGGGCTGCTTCTGTCCCTCTAAGACTCCTTTCTGGTAGGATGTGGTTAAGTGCCTCCGTACTATGAACTCGTCAGCCACTCCACAACAGAAAGGTTTACAGCTTTGGAAAGTTCACAGGGCTGTTCTGCTCTTGTCACCATAAATCAGAACAGGCTCAGTGGCAGTGGGCTGTTAGGCCCAAAGGACAGGCTCCCAAACTGAGACATCCCTTAAGTTGGGGAGAAAACAGTAGAATTTACCTCACACCTCTCTCCTATGAACACCAATGGCATGTAAGTAACGAGCCAGCAGATGGGCCAGGGCCCAGGAATCAGGCTGTGGCTCCTTTGATCTTTTGTTCTTTGATTCTCTTTCCTGTGTAGTTTCCCTCCTGGCTTCCTTCTCTCCTCCTCTAGAACAGGCTCTCGAAACTGTTCTTTAAAAGTCCAGACTAGGAAAAAATTAAAAAAAAAAAAAAAAGTCCAGACTTGAGAATTCCCAGCCCCAGAAAGCGGCCTTCACAAAGGCGCTACCTTTCAAGAAAGACTCGTCAGTGTACATCAGGGGTCTAGAGGAGGCCCCCTTCCACCTTACACTGACTGCTTGGAGCTGAATTTCACAGTCTGCGAGTATCTCCCTGGATCCATTCTGCCAGTTTAGCAGCTGCTGTAAAGAAACAGCCTCTTTCTGTCAAATACCTGTTGTACCAGGTGACTCTCATTGGTCCAGTGTGGGTCACGTGTCCGCCGTGATGCAGTCAGTGAGGCCCCTGGCCTGAGGGTGGAGGCAGGTGAGGGCTCACAGGGGTCTCTAGCCAGACGATGCAGGAGAGATGGTGAGATGCACAGCGGGCGCTGGGAGACACCGTTGATGCTCCATTTAACAAGCCTGTGAACCAGGCACGGGGGACATGGGGTTCCTCCTTCCCTGATGAAGTTAAGCAAAGGGTATGCATACTTAGAGAAAGACAAACTACACGCAGGTTTTGGCTTGCTAAGGGCAACATTTTTCTTCCTAAGTCCACGGTTTCCTTTGCCTTTGAGCTGGGACAGTGAATTTCCCACTGAAATGGCACACTGGGGATGGAAATATGATAATCCCTTCACCCTCTAGGGTCCTAGGTCTAGGAGCTGCTGCAGAAATGTCATGACTGAATCCTCACAAACTTTTCAGTGCAGCGGAAGGACAAATAATAAACAGACAGACATGCCAAGTGCCGTTAATGCTGCATTTGCACTAGCAGGCAAGGGAAGAGAGTTGCAGAATTCATGCTGTTAAACAAGGTGGGCGGAGAGACGTCTGGAAGTTGTATCAGGGGTCTTGGTAAGGAGCAGGACTTCCTAGCTTACAGACAATGTTTCTGCTTCTTAGTTTTATACCTTTATGCAAACCTCCCTGTGCCTTCCTTTTCTCATATGAAAAAATGGAATAGGGGTAGAAATCCACTTTGTACAGTTGAGGAATTGAGTGGGTTGCCATATGCCAAGTAAGCTCCTAGCCCCCAGCCAGACCTCCTACCATGGAGTCAGTTCCAACCAATGACGAGCCTCCGTGGGGTTGCCATGGATGTAAATCTTCATGGAAAGAGACTGTCCATCTTTCTGCCTTGGAACACCCTGTGGGTTTGAACCACCAACCATTCAGATACCGGCCTAACTCACAACACACTGTGCCACTTGGCTCCTTTATTATATAGCAACTGAAGGAAACTTGGACTGTGTGATTATGCTCAAAACAAACAATCTATAGAAGAAGGAGCCCACTCATAGAGCAAGGGGGCTCCCATAGTGCCAATTACATGGTGACTTGAACATCGATACATGGCTTGTTTTGATGTATGTGGCGTTCAGAGGTAACGGAGGGCAGCGCTTGGCTTGTAGTGAGGGCTGAGCAGCTCACCAGCTCTCTCCTTCTCTCCCCAGGGATTGACCAAGGCCAGATGACCTACGATGGCCAGCACTGGCACGCCACCGAGACCTGCTTCTGCTGCGCTCACTGCAAGAAGTCCCTCCTGGGACGGCCGTTCCTCCCGAAGCAGGGCCAGATTTTCTGCTCTCGGGCTTGCAGTGCCGGTGAGGACCCCAATGGCTCTGACTCCTCTGATTCTGCCTTCCAGAACGCCAGGGCCAAGGAGTCCCGGCGCAGCGCCAAAATCGGCAAGAACAAGGCCAAGACCGAGGAGCCCGTGCTGACCCAGCACAGCCAGATGCAGGTCGGTGCCAACCTGCTGTCGGCCGACGTGGACCCCCTGTCGATGCAGATGGACCTGCTCAGCCTGTCCAGCCAGACGCCCAGCCTCAACCGGGACCCCATTTGGAGGAGCCGGGATGAGCCCTACCATTACGGGAACAAGATGGAACAGAACCAATCCCAGAGCCCCCTGCAGCTCCTCAGCCAGTGTAACATCAGAACTTCCTACAGCCCGGGAGGGCAAGGCGCCGGGGCCCAGCCTGACATGTGGGGCAAGCACTTCAGCAACCCCAAAAGGAGCTCGTCCCTGGCTATGAAGGGGCACGGAGGTAGCTTCATCAAGGAATGCCGAGAGGACTATTATCCGGGCAGGCTGAGGTCCCAGGAAAGCTACAGCGACATGTCCAGTCAGAGCTTTAGTGAGACCAGAGGGAGCATCCAAGTCCCCAAATACGAGGAAGAGGAGGAGGAGGAAGGGGGCATGGCCACCCAGCAGTGTCGGACCCGCCACCCCATCAGTTCCCTGAAATACACTGAGGACATGATGCCCACTGAGCAGACGCCTCGGGGCTCCATGGAGTCGCTGGCCCTGTCTAATGCAACAGGTAGGTGCTGTTCGCCGGGGAAGCAGGTGACAAGGTGGTCCTCGTGGTTTTCATGCAGACCCCACCATGTTGTTTCCTCTAACTGGCTGCTGAGGAAGGTGAATCCAGGTGTAGGTAGCTGTGTCTTTGATGTGTCAGTAGAGCCTGAGATAGGCATTCAGGTATCTCTGATGCACTGAGTGTTTGTTCCCAGGAGAAGCGTGAGGGAAGAGGGACGTGGCAGCGAAGGATGTCTCAGCTGGAATCTCACTTCAGGCAGATCCCACGGGGCTCTGCAGGATTAACTGCATCACAGAGCCGGCTGCTGCTTGAGACAAGGTGGCTGGCCTTCTGTGTCGTTGTGTCAGTCCGTGATTGGCCTTGGGCTGCTGGGAGTGAGTGCAGGTGAAGTGGATGTGAATGTGGCGTAAAGCAGCGCCTGGCGGCTCAGCTAGAGACAATGGTTAGTAGAAGGGGGTCTGTGAGCTGCGGGCTGTGAGCAGGAGCCTGGCCTGGGATTACCTCAGTATCAAAGCAGCTGCTGTCCCGGACGCCGGTCTCATTGGGGGGCAGGTTTGTGCAGATAAAGGCATAATGATGTGGATACAGGAGGAAAGAGTAGGCAGCACAAAAGGACAGAAGTAAAGAGAGAAAGAAGCTCTTTTTTATTTGTTTGTTTGAAAGAGTTTATTGTTTGTATTATTTTGGGTTTGCTTTTTTCGGGGTGGGGCAGGGAAGACGGTAGTCCCTTTTGTTCCAAATGCTGAGCTTCATACCCTTTGCACTCACAAACTTTTACTAAGAAGACCTCTTTGATATCTTCTGATACAAAATATTCTTTTTTTAAAAGGAATTTACAACAATATTTATTATATACATTTCTCCTTTTTTGTCCTTTTTTTCATTATTATACTAGTTTATTTACAAAATTGGAATACATTGTTTTTCAGACCAGATTCTTTCAATATCCCTCACTGCCCTCCACTCATCAAATTGTACAACCTCATGGTTAATCCCCTCACCCCCTGCACATCCTCATCCCTCTGTTTCCACCCTCCTCCAACCTCCTCCTTAGAGCCTCACACTCAGAGAGAAAGAATCTCTTGTCATATTTCCCCAGCCAGGTTGTCTGGTTGATTTGTGTGAACGTGTACACTGATGTCCTCTGTTGTTGTTAGATGTTATCGTGTATAACTCATAGTGACCCTGTGAGCAGCTGACCTAATCGCTGTGCCGTCCTCATCGTCTCTGACACACTAGAGCCCGTTGTTTAAGTCACCGTGTCAATCTGTCTCATAGGGGGTCTTCTCTCCCTTGTGGACCATCTTTCTAAGCATGATTTTCCTTTCCAAGGAATAGCCTAGCCCAGCTACATGTCCAAAATATAAAACGTGATGCTTCACCATCTTTGTTTCCAAGGAGCACTCTGACTGCACTTTTTCCAAGACATACCTGTTGTTGGCAAATCATAGGATATTCCGTTCTCTTCTCCAACACAACTAAAAGGCATCAGTAATTCTTCTGTCATCCATATTCATTGCCCAGTTCTCAGATGCATAGCAGGTGATTGAGAAGACCATGGGCTGAATCAAACACATCTTGGTCTTCAAACTAAAATCTAAGATCATTGCTCCCTCAGCCTCTGGAGAGGTCCCTGACAGTGGACCTCCCCAAATCAATACTTCTCCTGATTGCCTGACTGCTGGTACCAAGGTTATTGATTGTTGATCGGAGCAAGATAAAAATCACTGATAGACTCAAACCTTTCTCCATCTATCGCAATATTGACTATTGGTCCTGTAGTGAGGACCTATGTTTTCTTGATGTTAGGATCCAATCCATGCTGTAGGTAGGCTGTAGTCCTTGATTGGGGAGCTCTAGTGGCCTAATGGCAAGAAGCTGTGCTGCAGTTCTGAAGGCACATGGTTCAAGGCCACCAGCTGCTGTGAAGGGAAAAGAATGTAGTCTCCTTCCATGCGATTCACCACCTCTGAAAACCCGCCAGAGGGTCAGGTGTAGGTTGGTTCTGACTTAATGGTATACAACAACAACAGCAGCTGTCCTTGATCTTCTGCAGCCTTTCATATCCTCTTCACTTTTAGCAAGCAAAGTCATGTCATCTGCATAACGCTGGGTGTTGCTAAGTCTTCCTCCAATCCTAATACCACATTAGAAGACGATGCTATTTTAAGAATAGTCTGAGATCAAACCTGGCCTGCTTGCAAATGACTCCCAGCTCCCAGGGCCTTTACTGGAAGTGGTTAGAAACTCTTCGAGCGTGTCTGCAGCATCCCGCTGCGTGTTCAGTGGCCTCGTCTCATTGTCCGGGGTACAGAGCAGCCAGGAGTTTGTAGAACTCCCACAGTGAGGCCTTTGTGGTGTGTGGTGTCCATCACTGCTGCTCAGTGGGCCTGTTTGTCAATCTGCAACAGACTGAACATGGAAACAAGCTGGTCCTGCACCAAAAATAGCTCAAGAAGTATTGCTTTAAGATGTGACAGACTTCAGTATGTTGTTCTCAGTTACCCTCAAGTCAGCTCTGACTCATGATGGCCTGAGTGTGTGACAGAGGGAAACAGTGCCCAGTCCTCTGCCACCTCCAGGGCACTGTGACTTCATTGCGGGTTTTATGCATTCCAGTAGTACCAGCAGCCAGCACTAGAACAGGCACTACTCTGTGGTGGTCCATAAAGGGTTTATTGGCTAATGTTCAGCAACAGTCTTGGTTTGGCTGCAGGGAGCTCTGATGGAATAGTCCATAACACAAAGGTGGTGGCCCTCTGGGGGTTCGAACCCACCAGCACCTCCACAGGAGAAAACCAGGCAGTCTTCTCCCTTGCAGTTTACAGCCTCTCCATAACCTGCTGGAGGACCAGCTGTGAGTTCTGACTCGACAGCAATGAGAGAGAGCAATGGAGCCTTTGAGCTCCACTGATACATGTCCGTGGTGGGTGGCCCTGCTGGTATTTGAAATGCTGGTGGCATAGTTTCCAACCTCATAGCCACATACATGCAGGCCACCACTGTACAACAAATAGACAGATATTGGTGGGCGTGATGCTGAACACTGTGCCGTAGTCGTGTCAAATACCATAATGGTTACCCATCATGGACAGTATTTGGAGGAGCTTCTGGACTGATTCAGGTTTGGAAGCAGGAGTGGCATCCACTTCCTAAACCACATGTCTCTGGAAACTCTATGAACACAGAGAAATGATGTTAGTTATAGAAAAGGGTTCAGGTCTTCTGTTCATAGGGTCGCTATGAGTCTTACTCTGCTTGACATCTCTTAACCATTGCTAAGTGAGTCTAATGTTGTTACATTTTGGAGGAACATTCTTCTAAATTGTACATCACTCTTCTGTCAATTTGCTGTACTGAGGTAATCTGAGTTTGCTGAGATGCTGAACCTTGTGCCACTGAGGGGTCAAATGCCATAACGGCTGCTCATGGTGGACAATGTTTGGTGAAGCTCCCAGTTTATGACAGGTTTGGAAGCAGGAGTGGCATCCATTTCCTAAACAACATGCCTCTGGAAACCATGAACTTGGAGAAATGACAATAGTTATAGAAAGGCTTTAGGCTTTTTGTCCATAGGGTTGCAGTGAGTCTTGCTCGATTCAATGGCAATCAACAACAACACAGGGTAGGAGGCCGGGGTGGGGAGGGGCCGGAAGGTGGGGGAGATGGGGTCTTGCCTTCTCCTGTGGGGACTCCACAGTCAAATGAGTCTGGACGGTGACTGTGATAGCCAGGTGTCTGGAATTTCCTGGTGGTGCAGTCCTGGGGGAGACGCGCTGCTCACCCAAAGGGGGTGCCTCTCTGGCAGTTTGAGTCCACCCGCGCCTCTGAGGGGGAAAGATGGGCAGTCTCCTCCCATGCTGTTTACAGTCTCTGAAAACCCACTAAAGGGTCAGATGTGACTTGGTTCCAACTTAATGGCAATGAGTTCGAGTTTTTGTTTTGTAAACCCCTTTGGATGGGGAGAGGTGCTACTCAGCTCTGTCAGGTCCTGCCATGTGCAGGGGTATTTATTCAGCTAACACTTACACAGCTCTTCCCACGTGTCAAGAATTGCTCTGAGTGCTTTATAAATATTTACTTACGTAATGTTATCATCACATCCCTATAAGGCAGGTGTACTATTCTGATCCTCCTTTCAGAGTTGAAGAAACATAGGCACAGAGAGGTCAAGATACTCGTTCAAAGCCACCCCAGCTTCTAAGTAGTGGAGGAAGGTTTTGAACCTGTGCCTAGACTCCAGAGTGATGCCTTCAGTTCTACCAGGCTGCCACCTCCACAGAAGCCCCACACTGACAGATTCTCCAGCCGAGCCCAAGAACTTTAAGACATGGATTATTTTTCATGTGCGATTGACATAACCTCAGCTAGATTAACAGAACCTGTCTGAGTTATAGGATGTTGCATGAGTGTTTTACCATCTATCCCCTCTGCCCCAAATGCTTTCACATCTGTGCCCTCCTCGGTCCCAGAGGGGACAGAACCCTTGCTTCAGATGGAGAGATGAGGCCTCAGGGACCAGGTGCCTGGCCTGGTGTCACAGAAGTGAGCAGCCATGGCCGAGTGATGACTGCCTGACTGTTTGCCCAGCTTATATTATTCTCCAAAGGTTTAAGAGCCCAGGAGAGAAATACGTAATTTGGCATCTAAAGCTGAATTTCTCAAAGCTAGACCACTGGTATTAGAGCCATTGTAGACCTGCAACCTCCCGCCACCCCACCGCCTGTTCCCTAGATTTGTAGCATCAGACTTTCTGGAGGCAAAACCCAGGAATCTTTATTCCAGGAATCTTTAATCTTTATTCCGCCCCTTGTGCACTGTTTCCTGAGGGCAGTGCCCCTGAGTTTGCCTCTTCTGACTGTTGTCTTCACACACTGGGGGGCAGAGGGTGCTGGGGAAGCCAAGATGAGAAGAATGAACCATCTCCCTTCCTAAGGAAGGGTTCCAGGGAAATTACCACCTGGTTTTTTAAAAGAACATTTGGGGAAGGTGAATGTTAG